GACTTTGTAATTCTGTGCTGCAGGGAAAGTGCAGCTAGACTGAAACTAAATGCTGACACACTCCTTAGCCTCTCAGTGAATATACATCCTTGGATGCCAACCAGATTATTCTGGGCTGCCCTGCATTGCATTATGCCTGACTGATCGTTGCTTGCAGAGCTGGAGCTTCAGGTCATTGCAGAGAGAGAAAAGGAGTGATGTGGATGTTCCTAGCAGAGCCTGAAGATACTTAGGGAGACTGATGAAGGATACCCCTGCTGCCTGGCTGCCCGATTGGCTGCTGCGCTCCCCAAGCTACAGTTGAGAGGGCAGCAGCTTCCCAGTGATGGAGAGAGCCAGGAGAGCCCAGGGGGAAATGGGACGGACAAATGGCAAGGCAGATTTCTGCATGCTTCCCTGAGCAAACACAGGGAGGTATGCAAGAAAGGGGAGCAGACACTGGGATTTTCCTTCCCTTCCCTCTGAAGCAGGGCCTGATCCAAACACCCCTGAAGACAGCAGAATGGATCCCACTCATCTATCAGTGCTTAAAATCACATGCTTAAACCCTGGACATCCAACAAAGGAATGGGCTTGGGACACACTCTGTAAATGAACTTCAGTTCACGGCCAGCAACTTACCACCATCAGGAATTAAAACCAGCAGGATAAAAGTTATAAGTAGATTTTCTGTGTTGTACTTGTGATAATACTCGGCCATTTATGCAGTGCACATCAGACAAAGAAACCCCAAAGCCCCTCTCTGCGTTTCATTGGTAATTTTTACAAAACATGGAAGTCATGCTGCCATTCCTCATGCAGCCAGCCTGGGGCCAAAACCAGCTGCTGTGCAAAGATGCACATTATGTCCAATCAAGTGCCCTCTGAGATTAATGGGAAAAGTTTCCCCCACACTAGTGGGAACTGAGGAGAAGATAAGAGCAGCCCGTTTGACCCGGGAGGTGGGTGCTGCTGAAAGCAGGGTGCTCCGGGACAGGAGGAGGCTGCAGGCTGCCGCCTAGGCAATGAGGTGCTGCGGAGGGGTGAGCATCACCCAGCTGCCTTCCTTCTCTCCTCGGGGGAAAACCCTCTTTGTCACCCTCTTGTCCCTCTTCCAGAGCTGCTGGAAAGAAGGCTGCACCGACCCTGCTGCTTCCCCCCTCTGGAGCAAAGCACCAGAACCCCCTCTCTACCCCCAACCGGGGGGGAAGGACGACACACACATCCCTCCTTTCCCTTCTTCCACACCCAGGGCCTGGGGCTGCTTTCCCCAGCCCCCTTCTGCCACCCAGTCCCTCCCCGTCAGAGAGGAGAAAGCTCCAGTGTGTGCTGAACCCCAATACAAGTTCTGTCTGGAGTGGAGAGGTACCGGGCAGTGCCCGGAAGCAGCAGGGGTAGCAGGGGGCACTCGGGGTGTCACAGCTGGGCACTTGGGGCAATGAAAGAACACGGAGTGGGGGGACAGACATGAAGGCGGTGGCACCTCCCATGTGAGAAACCCTGAGGGGAACCACAGAGGCAGACTGTGAGGACAAAGGCATCTGGGGAGCATCACCATACCCCCACTGTGCTGTGTCCCTGGGGAAATCCTCCTCTCCCGGGGATCTTCTCCCCACATGGGGCAAGGGGGATCCCCCAAATCTGCCACTCTCCCCAGCAGCAGACCCTGCCCACCTTGCTGCACTCCCCAGACACCTTCCTTAGTCCCCAGGAAGCCATCCCCCCCCCCCCCCCCCCCCCCGTGGATGTTTTACCTGGGGGGAATTGTGCAGGGGAAAAATGGGTGCTAACAGCCTGTCTTGGGCTCTCACGTGGCTCCAGCAAGATCTGGGATTCCCCCACTGGCACCTGCAGTGGGGTAACTGGGAGCCAGCAAAGAACCCTCGAGCACCTGTGGGTGATGTTATGCGTCGAAGTGCTTAACCCCATCCCCGGCACTAATTGCATTTGCAGGACGAGGCCCAGCTGGGTCTGAGCTGGGAGGGGACCAACAGCAAAGAGCTCAACCCTTGTCGCTCTCTTCCTATGAGCACCCCGCCCTAGAAATCCGAGCACTCGCTTCATTTCGCCCCTGGAGGCTGTCTGGACGGTGCTCCTTGTCCGAGAAGCTCCAGCTAGCAGATTTTCCTCTTCCTGCTCTTTTTCTCCTTGAATGTTGCGCTAGGCCGGGTCTCTCCTACCATGGGGGTCTCCCGGTGCCCTGGGGGATGCTTTACTGCTGCACCCTGAGCCCCCTGGCCCTTGCTGACATCGCTGGAGCTGTGATGTTCCTGTTTGGGAGGTTTTTGACCCCAATTGCTTGTGTCGTGAGCAGTCTGGGGTTGTGTTCTATTCCATGTTAATGGAGTTGTGCTAAACCAGGGGCTGGTGTGTTGTTTGAGAAGGGAATCGAGACCGTTCCTTGCCGCGGGTGGGCAGCAAGAGGAGCAAACTTCGTTGTTTCTGACTGATTTGCCAGAGAGCACAGAAGGGAGCACTTCCCTTCTGGTGCTGCACGGCCGGCCAGATGGTTTGCTGCAGGCAGAGCGAAGCAGCCCCTTGCTGGCCCTTGCTGGCCAAGTGCCCTCTCCTCTCTTGCACAGCAAAGCAAGGGTTTTCATCCAAACTAAGTTGGTGGAACATCCAGAAAGGGCAGTTTAAGGCAACCTGTTCACAGGGCTACTCAGTCTCTCATATCAGGGCACTGGAAACAAGCTCATGTGTCTCACAGGCAGGCCAGGGATGCTAGTTTATGTGCTGGCCTTTTGTGAGCTTTGCATCATTCTTGTTCTACAGGGGCAAGGCACGTGAGGGTCTTGGTCCTCACTTAAACAGTTTGCACTGCAAAGCCAGGCTCTGTGGAGTTGCCTTGGGCTGCTGAGTTGTGGCAAGAGTCTTTGTCGGGGAGTTGGAAGAACATCTGCAGGTGTGCTCTCCAAAACACTGACACTGACCCTGCCACCAAAGCATAGGATGTTCAGGTTTGGTGGTTCCTGTGAAGCTTGTCCCCTCTGAACAGCTGCTGTGTCTGTCATGCAGGGCTGTTGCTGTAACCAGGCTCACTTGGCAACTTGCAGCCTTCTGCAGGGAAGCAGGGCTCAGGGCTTGCTCCCTTCTTGTATTACACTAAGCCTTGGCTGGAGGGGCACTTGAGAAAGCAGCACAAGGGGCTTGTGAAGGGCTGTCTCCAGGATGATAAAAAGAGAAATTCCCCAGCTATAATCCTTCCCTTGATGAGGCAGACAAGCATGCTCCAGTAAACATGTATTATGTTACAGCCTGCGGAGGTGGGGGATAAAGCCCGCTGGAGGCACTTGCTTCCAAAGAGAGGGTGCCCTAGCAGGGCCTTTCGCTTCTCCCCACACCCTTCTCTTTCAGTGTAAAATGCATACAAGGGTGCCAAGGGGCTGGGCAGCCCTGAGCAGTAGATGAACAAGTGTGCCTTGCACCAGTGTCCTGTCTCATAGCTGGGGAGGGTACAGAGAAGCCCGGGGTCATCTCCAGTAGGTCCAGCAGGGATCAAACCTCGGAGCCAAACCCCACGAGGGATGCGCTGGCCTGGGTGAGGTCTGAAGGCTGTGGATGGGTTTCCTGTGTTTTCCACGTACTAGGAACAAATCCTGGCTGTACTCTGAGCATAGCATGGCTGTTCAGCCTGTTGCAGGAAGAGAGTCCTGTGCTGAGAGGATTGTGGAATGCATCCACTGGAGTGCATGAAGTTCTTGCAGATGTGTTCAAGCCCCTTGTTCTGAGCTAATACTGGACCATGCTTTTCATCCTGGGAGCCAGTGTTCAAGATGTGAGCAGCACTGCTCTTTTCTCCCAACTGCTTGACAGACCTGCCAGAAGTAAGGTCAGGGCTTGCTGCCTGCTATTGTGCCACTTGGGCTTGCTTTTACTAGGCTGTGTTTGGGTCGTAACTGTGGAATTGCAGCCCCAGTGACCAGGGGGTTGAGCCGGTGTCCCCTAAGTCATAGTCAGTACCATAGCTGGGTCATAGTCAGCACCTGCCCCATAGTCAGCACCACAGCCTGAGTTCTCCTCAGGCTTCGCTTCACACCTTACCCTGACTAGAAGCCAGAAGCATTTGGCTAACCTGAAGCCAGGAGATGACTCAAAATCCCCACTTGCTTTAGGAAAACTGGCACCCTGCATTCACGGGGTCCTAAAGGTTGTGGGGAGGTGGTGGATTGGGGCTGGTGGACACAAGGACACAGCATCTGCCTGGCCTGACACAGTGTGGGACTTGGTTGCCACCCTATCAGCACTGAACCCCAGTGCTTTCCCTTCTGCCCCAAGGTCCTTCCCTTTCTGCTGCTGTCTCACTGTGCTGAGGTGGCCCTGTGCTGGTTTAGAGGTCTTGCCGCTTCTGCCAGCCCTGAGGGCTGTCTAGAAAGCACGAGTAGTCCCTGGGTGTGTCTGTGGAGCTCCTGAGCCTAAAGGTCTGCCAGTTCCTGAAGTGAAGACATAGGATCCATAGGATAAGAGGGTGAGCTTCCTGCCCTGGTGCATCTTGTCCCCATCTCTTCATGCCTACTCCCTCTTGGAATTCAATCCTCCCAGCTTGGGAAAGAAGACTACGCAGGGCAAATCTCTCTTTAATGACTAAAAATGAATCTCTCATCTCTGACAAGACCAAGGCTTGTCAAGTTCTGCCTCCGGCTTGCCCACCCTCATTCTCCGAGTGCCTCACCACAGGAGGGAGGTGTCGGTTCTCTGGCATGGCTGGACCTGGAGGTTTCTTCGGGAAAAGATGTTCTTGAGGATTTTTTCTGTCAGTACTTGTCTGATGGGCGACTCTGCTTCCAAGATGTTTTGGAGTCCTCTTTTTCCTCGGGTTGTGTGGAAGCTTGTGTCTGCCTGTGCTGCTTTTTCCTGCTTGTGCACCTCTTTGCTCTGGAGCGAGGTGCTTAAAATGTGTGTGGTGATGCTGTCAGCAGCAGCCTTCCTTCCCCCCAGTATTGCCTATACGTCTAAGGGAGAGAGTAAAACCTGTCCTGCTTTTGCCACGTAGCTCTGCCCTCCTCGGCAGGACAGCTCGCCTTCCCGGGGAGCTCCGGTTCCCTGGGCACGGGCTGGCGGAAGCGGGGTCGGTCCCGGGACCGTCCCCCGTGCGCTCGAGCTGCGGGACGGGAGAGGGCCGCGGGGCGTCGCCTGGCAACGGGTGTTTTCGTCAGCGGCGCCCTCTGTGAGTTCAGGAGCGGGCTCGGACAATGGGCGTCGAGGAGCGGGCGGTGGTGGTGGGTAAAGAGGCGCGGCAGGGCGTGGGGCAGGGTCAGTTGCTGCAGGTACGGGGCAGGGGGGCGGAGGGAACGGGGGTCGGGGGGGCGGCGGTAGGGCTGGGGGGGGCAGAGGCTGCGGGGAAGGGGCCACCGCATCCCTGAGGGAGAGTGAGCAGGAGGCAGGCTGCCGGCTGCCCACTGTCTCTCCTACCGCCAGCAGGTCAGACTCGTGTTGTCAGCCATAGCGGCAGCCATGGCCCTACTCAGCTTGACCCAGCTGCTGGACGCCGCCTTCGGGACGCCCGATGTCGAGGCCGTGAACTTCCGAGCGCTGCGCAACCTGCTGCAGGCCATGCTGGGGCACCTGGGCCTGCAGGACCGCTCCACCTGGGGCTTGGAGCAGCCTGTGGAGCGGGACAGGTCAATGACCCTGGCAGCGGGGCAGCAGCTCCGGCAGCCGGGTGAGCAGCTGCCTGCGAAGGACCTGCTGCAGGACACCACCGGCGGCTCCGAAGCTGATGTGGCTGCCGACGTGGGGCAGCTAGTGGAGAGGGAGGAAACCGACAAGAGCAGCAGCTCCCAGGTAGCGGCTCTCCCAAGCCCCTGCGTGCTCCCCCGTTGACTCGCCTCCTCCTCCAGGGGTGGCTCTTTGCCCTTGGTATCAGCTTCAGCGCTCCTGCACAGAGCTCAGCACGGGCAGGCAGGGCTGGATGCAGCCCTGCTGACATGGGTTTGTGTGATGGCTTCCATTGGGGCAGGGTGGGGACCAAGTTCCCGGTCTGCAGGGACCCTCCCATGGGGCTCATGCCTGCCACCCTCCTCTCCTAGGACACATCTGTCTACCAGGATCTCCTTGAGGAGATTAGCCAGATGAAGGAGGCGCAGTCCCGCATGCAGGGAGAAATCCGCATGATCCAGGAGGCGCTTGGCTTGGTGAGCTGCTGCTGGTGTCCCCAGGAGGGAGCTGGCCTCTTGCTCCCCTCCCTGCATCACCCTGCATCTCCTTGCAGCCCGTGTCCTCCTGCCTTGGATGTCACCTAGTGTGAAGGGCACTGGAAGGGAAGAGTGGGAAGGGTGCCCCAAGAGGGAAGCATGGGAGCTCAGCCCACCCTACCTGGAGCCCCGGGGAGGGCAGGAATGGACAGCACTGCCTGCAGCTCAAGCTGCTGGCAGAGGTAACTGTGTATGTCCACCCAAGTGGCCCTAAGGCACTTCTTAACTGAACACCCATTAAAGTACCATGGGTGCTGGGAAAGGAGGGTCAAGATCTACCAGTGCAATACAGCAGCAGCCCCCAGGCACAAGCCTGCCCAGCATCCGTCTGTCTAGTGCCTAAGTTAATTTGCAGGTGCTTCTGTTCAGTCCTGCTTCTGCATCCTGACTGCCGTCCCTCTCCTCTCCCCACTCTAGGGGAACCTCCAGGATGCTGCCGGCCAGCTGCCAGGCCTCTGCAACCTAAGGACTCTGGCCAGTGATGTGGTATGGTTATGAGCACGCCAGATCCTGCTACAGGACAGGAGATGGCTGCATCCCTGGGGGACCAATGCAGGCAGTGCCTCTGCACTAGGGCATGGTCCCCAGCAGTGCTGGGTGTGTGTGGGAGTGCTCCTGTGGGGCCCACCATCCCTTTATCCCTTCCTTCCCCAGCAAATGCTGAAGGAAAGGCTGTGCCTCTACCCGGACCCTGAGGAGGTCAACAACATGGTGCACTGGGATGTGCTAAAGGATTGCCTGGTGGGCAGCAAAGGAGAACAAGGCAGAGATGGAGGAAGACCCAGAGAACAAGGAGACCAGTCTGCCACCACCAAGTCTCCCACTTCAGATGTGGACACCTCACATGGGGCAAGCTCAGTGCTGAGATCTAGAGACAGCTCAATGGTGCTGAAGGATCCTGGAACAGCTCTAACAGCCCCTAAGCAGCAGGGAGACATTCCCTCAGATCAGAGGGGGGATGCTAGCACCACAGTGGTGATGCAGGCAGTGTCGCAGGATGCACAGATCACCAGCTTGGGGACACAACCAGGGTCTACGGGCATCCAGACCACCACCCTTGAGACACAGCCAGAGTCTACTGTCACTCAGACCACTATCTCAGAAAGGCGGCTCAGCACACAGCTTCACCAGGCAGGCCCCCTGGAAGCAGAGACTCTCTTGCCAGCAGCCCAGGGATTTGAGATCCCACTCGACACTGATCCCAGGGCCATGTCCCACTTGCAAGAGCTGGCCTTGCCCTCAGGCTCCAGCAGTGCTTACCACAATGCCTGCAAGTGTTACATGGAGACGGTGGAGGCTCTCAAGCAGATTGGGCAGCTCAGACACCTCTATGCTTCCCTGAAGGAGCAGGTGGCCCAGCTAGAAGCCACCAGGTTGGAGCGGACTGACCTGGAGAAGCTGTGCCTGCTCCTCCAGGAGGGAGGTGAGAGCTCTGGGAGGCTTGTGGGGGGTGTTTGAAATGCTGGGTCTGGAGCTGGTTGTGCTCAGAGCCTCGCCCATAGGGTGAGACCCCTTCACTGACAGTGTGTCCCCTTGTACTGTGTTCTTCTAGGCCAGGAGAGCGTTGCCAACACACTGGGTGACCTCCAGGGCCAGGTGTCATCTCTGCAGGGCTTGGCCAGTGACCTGCAGGGCTTGTCCAGGGACCTGCAGAGCCTGGCCAGTGATCTTCAGGGAGAGAAGGGGAAGGTAAGGAGTCCCCGAGAGAGATGCAGGGATGCTGGGAGAGTTGGGCATGGAGAAGGCAGCTGAAGAGCCCCTGTGCTGGGATGACACAGGGGCCATGCCCTGACTCTGCCCCCGCTGCCATTCCCAGATCAGGATACTGGAGAGTGCCCTTGGCAAACTGGAGGCAGCCAGAGCCAGCTGGCAAATGGACCTCAGCAACCAGCTCAGCCTGCGATTGGGGTAAAAGGACAGGAGAGGGTTTTTTTCCCTGTGGGGCTGCAAGGGAGCCCAGGAGGGCTGGGAGCATCCCATGATGGGGGGAGAGGGATGCCCCCTGAGCAACTAAGCTTGTGAAGACTAAGCCTGCCTGTACCACCATCTTGCTGACCAGGTCCAAACCGCAGGAGGTAAAGCGGGACATGAAGGATCTGGCAGAGCAGCAGCAAATAAGCAAGGCTGCACTGGATCAGTTGGTGACCCAGACGGCCAAGGAGGAGCAGGAGCAGGTGAGGTGTGGGGGGAGCTCCCACCACCTGCTGGCTCTTTGAGATGGTCCTGGTGGGGTTCCCAGCCACATCCCCTGGCTGGCTGGGGCCATGGAGCCTCCATGGCACTTGGGATTGTTGGTTGTATCTGTCCCATCTCAGAGGTGATTCCTCTTCCCCTTCTGCAGCTGGAAGAGCTGAGAGTGATGGAGAGCATGGGGCAGGAGGAGGCAGTATGCCCCATGTGCAGCAGTGACACCAGCACACGTTTGGGGAAGCTTCTGCGGTGCTATGAGAAGCTGCAGGGGCTGGTGGACTCACTCATGTCGAGCAAGAAGAGGGGCAAGGTGGTGAGGCAGCTGCCAGGGAAGAGCCAGGTAGGGAGATGGCAGCATGAGGGACTTGGGAGGGGGCTGCCAGAACCATGCCCGCCTGTTTGTGCTTCGGTGTTATGTGGGGGAGTTCCTTGCTCCCCCCCATATTGTCTTGTCTACAGCAGAGAGGGAGATTCAAGCCATGCTGCAAATGTCCTGCTGGCACTGGGAGCCTATGGCCACTGGCCCAGTAAGCCAGGTCTGTCCCCCTGGGCAGCCTCCGCATCTTGCATGGCACTACCTTGTTATTTTCCTCCCTGGAGCAGGACCAGGAGGTGCTGAAGCGCATCCAGGCTGCCATCCTGCAGATGCAAGAGGAGTATGAAAAGCTTAACTCTGTCATGGGGAGCCTCCTGGATGACAGTCGCCAGCAGCAGAAAGATATCGAGGTAGATGGCTGAAACCCCTGTGGTGTTAGAGCATCCTCCAGGCAGGGGACCATAAGTGATTTGCCCTGTGGAGATTAAATTACCTTTCCCAGAGGATTCTGTGTGGAGGGAGAAGCAGGGGTGCTCCTGCACAATGTCACAGGATGCTTTTTCTGTGTTGGAAGGGTCTGTTCCAGTCCTTGGAGAGGCTGGAGAAGGAGAAGGCAGACAAAGAGGACCTGGAGCTAGGAATGGATGAGGTACAACCTCAGGGGGCCTAAGCACCAGGCAAGGGGGTCCTGGGCAGGGTGATAAATGCCCCTTGTCCCCTGGGAGCTTGGTGGCAGAGCTGGCCTGGGGGACGGAGGATTTCTCACCCAGCTGCAAGTCTCTCTGTCTCCCCACATGTCCCTTGGGCTGGTGGGACTGACCCCATGGGGGTGATGGGGCGAGTGGGACCACACAGCTGTGGTCCTGCTGGAGTGCTTTTGCCTCTGCCCCTGCAATGAGCTGATCCTGGCTGTTGTTCCTCCATCCTTTCCCCACCGTTCTCCTGCCTTTCCCTGTTGTTAGAAAGCAGACAAAGGTGCCTTGGAAAGCAAAGTCAGCCGCGCCCAATTTGAGGCAAGCCTAGAGCTGCTGAAGGAGAGAAACCAGGAGGTGCTGAGCCGGGTGACAGGCCAGGAGCATGGGCTGCACGAGGTCCAGCAGCAGCTGCGGGAGGAGATGGCCTCCAAGGTGAGGGGCGGCTCATCACCACTGCGTAAAAATGGTACCTTTGGGGCTTGGTGGCCCAAGGCAGCATCCTCCTGAGGATTCTTGCTCCTGGCTTTTCCCTGGGGATGCAGTGTCCCATTCTGGAGCTGCTACCTGAGGGAGTGTCTGTCTGCAGCTGGATCGCCTGGAGCTGGGGCCGTTCCAGCAGCAGCTGGATGAACACTGGAAGAGCAGCCTCAAGCGGCTCAAGGAAATGGCACCACCAATGGAAGCTGACAATGCAGCTGGGATTAGGAAGTGAGTGCAATATTGACAGCACTCGCCTTGTTCCCACTTTGTCCTTGCCCGCATCCCTTGCTCCCATGGTGCTCTGGGTGCCTGTGGCAGTGGTTCCCACAGCATTGGAGGTTTTTGGGCGCTCCCCTCTGTGGATTCTCCTGTGCCTAAGATGAGGTGGAGCTTTTTCCCAGGAGGAAGCCCGCAACCAACCACTCTCCCTCATCCTATCCCCTTTCTTCTGTAACCAGCCAGCAGGCTGGGACCTTGCTGGCGTTGGGGGGATAAACCAGGCTCAAAACCAGGTTTCCCAACTCACCCAGCCCTTTCTCCCCTCCCCAGGCAGCTGCTGGTGGATTTCCAGTGTCTGTCTTGTGACAGGCGACTCAGCATGCAGGTGCCTGGGCTCGTGAGTACCAACCAGCACAGGCACATCAGGAGTCTGCATGGGTGGGATGGGGGAGATGGGTGCTAGTGGTGCTCTGGGCCAGGCATGGGGTTTGGGGTGTCTGCCTGCAAGGGTCTGATCCTGCCCAGCACCCTCCACAGGCCTGCCCATCAGCAGGAGGATTAGGACCCTTCTCTGAGGGCAGCAGGCAGGGGATGCCATGAGGTACAAGCCTGTGGGGTTTGGGGTGATGCCACGAGCCAAGGTAGGTCATTTGTCCCCTGTCACCCACTGATGGCTCTTGCCCTCCCCAGGGCTATCCCACCCTTTCCACCACTGGTCCCTCACGCCACTGGACAATCCTACCCTATTCTGAAGATGGAGCAAACCTACAGGTAGGGGACATGAGACCCATCCCCATCCCTGGGGTGCAGGATGGCTCTGCCCCAGCGAGGGAGAGTCCTTCCCTTAGCTGGGGTAAAGGGCTCTGCTCCCTGGGCAGGGCAGGGGAGCAGAGATGTGCCACAGAGGCTCAGCTGTGCTTGCCCCAGGCCTGGGGGTTTTACAGCCTCCCCCCTGTGCTGCCCTGTTTCTCTCTCAGTGGCGCTGAAGCCACATGTGCTGAGTTGTGTGCTGGGTGGTGAGTGTTCCCATACCCTATCCTGCAGGGAGCGGATGCCTGCATGCAGGTACCCCACCTTGCCACGGCAGTGTGGGGGCCAGCATACCCTCACACACCCGCTGCAGCGCAGCCTGTGCCTTCAGCTTGTCCAGCCCAGCACCCCACAGGTACTCCAGCCATCCACCCTGCTCCCCAGCAAGGTAGGGATGAAGAAAGAAGGGATCTGGCGGGGGTGGCTGAGGTTGGGAGGGTGATGCTGAGCATCTGGGGAGGATCCATGGCCTTGGTTTCACCAGGAGAGATGGGTATAGAGGGTTGCTTGGGGATGCTGAATTCAGCCCCATGCTTTAGCCAACCCATTCTCTCCTCCCCAGCACGACAAGATAGAGCAGTTGGGCCAGGACAGCTGCAGGACTGACCCCTGCCCCTCAGCCCCTGGCACCACTGGCCCACTGGAACACAGGTCAGCCTCATCCCGCAGCCACCCTCTCCAAGTACACCGGCCCCACCCACCCCTCCAGCTCCGCAGGATGGATGCAGCAACCGGGCGGCCGGGAAGGACTCTGCGTCACCAGCTGAATCCACCCCAGCAGGCGAGGAAGTAGCTCCCAGCAGCAGCAATAAATGGTGATGTTCAGCAAAGTGCCTGTGTGGCCTTAGTGGGGGGACCCTAGCTTGCGATCTGCCCTTGGCCTGTGGCCACATATCACTGAAGGAGCTGAAAACGGCCCTTGGCCACCCCACTGCTCCTCATCCCCAGGGTCGGAGCAACCTGAGCTGCTGTGCTCCCCCTGGCATCTCCATGAGCCCTGTGTGGCCCTAATGGCCCCTGCTAGGGAAGCCTGTGGCCCCAGAGTGGGGCTGGGGAAGCTGGGCAGTGCAGCAGGAGGAGGAGGATGCTCAGTTGCTGCTGAAGGTGATAGCAAATTGGCACCTGGGTGTGAAGGGTGGTGGCAGCAGCACACGGTGAGGGACAGCTCTCAGCTCCATGCTAAAAGCAGGAAACTTGCCCATATTGTTGCCCTTGTTTTCTGATTATGAGTATTGCAGTGGCATTGGTAAAGAGCACAGAGTAGGAAGGGGCTTCAGGGCTTCATGCTACAGTTGACCTCCTTGCGATTTATGACAAGGAAGGCAACACGTGTGGCTGTAATGCTTCTGGCATCCAACTTAGATCATACCTAGCACACAATTCATCAATGAGCCATGGCATCACTTAGCAGGGACCAGCCAAGATACGGTGCCTCAAATTGCATAGGAGAGCTAACTCCCACCAGAAATAGGGTGTGTGGACTTCTGAGACTAGGATTCAACTCCCCTGGCTTCAGAAGTCTACAGAATAAAAGCTTAACACTGTGTCCCGTTGTAGCTAAAGGACTGTAGTCATCTGACCGTATGTGGTTGTTAAGAGACTGTGCTGTTGACTTCACTGTCTGTGTGGACCATGCAACCAACAGTCTTCAATCCATGACTGTAGACCCTTGAACTGTCGTGGAAGCCCTCATATCAAGCTTAGATGTAGAAACATACACAGCAGTTAGGTGAGAGGAATGCCAGTACAGGTATCCTTGGGACTGTAGATGCCTATGATGAGGTGAGCTACTGCAGTGCATGCAGTACGTTTTTTCTCTATTTGCAGAACCAGCTGATCAGGAGAGCAGTGTGGCTTCTGACAAGAAAATTATTCTTAGTGCAGCAGAGGAATAAAAACCCATGGGTTGTTTCTTACTGTTGAGAGCCCTTTAAAAATTATGCTTTTGAACATAGTGAAATATTTAGTGAAGATGACAAAAGTTCAAGCAAAAATGCAGATGCAAGCACATGCGCAGGAGAGCAGCACAGCCAGAAGATTCCCCTTATTTATTCGTTTCTGCCATGTGTTCACACCTGCAAAGCTAAAATACTTCTTGTAGCAGATCTTTTTTCGGTTATCTTTATTTTTGCTTCTGATACTGGTAGTGAATTCCTGTAGAACACAGAAAGTGTGCAGGATAAGGAATGCACCAATATGTCATCATCTGACACAGGAAGCAGCAGGGCAGGACCTGGAAGAGATTCATAGCTGGGGACAAGATTCAAATGACATTTCTGAGCTTGAAGCATGACATGTGCAGGAATTAGTCCAGCACTGTACTGCCAATCACCCCAGCTCTGCTTGGGCTGCTGCCTAATGCTGAACACAAATACACTCTGGAGGTACTTCATTTCTATTACCCAAGAGATTGGATCTGCTCCTGCATGTGCCCACATCAGTCCTGTGGGAGATCTTTAAGTCCACCTGAACCCTTGAGCCTGCTGAACTCTGGATCTCCAGAGATGTTTTGTTAGGTTGTTGGAGCATATTTCATCCACATTTGCATGTCTGGGTTTCTCCACATGCGGTGGTTTAGGGTGGTACCCACTTCTGTTGTAATACTCCAGTTGATGGAGCACTCTCCTGGCATATTGATGGTCTTGGGTTCACTTCTCAGTCTGTTTTGCAAGGGTGGGGGTTTGGATCCACATCTTCCTGATTTCAGAGGAGCCAGAGACATGAATAAGGAGCAGCATTGGGTCTGGTAAGCAGTTTTTCTTGAGGCTGTTATGAAGGCTCTGTGTCTCTTGCTTGCTGAATACACTCCATGAGACAAGTCTTCCCAAATGCAGATAAAGAAAAAGTGACAGCCACTTCATGAAGGAAATGACAAGAATTCACTTCATGAAGGAAATTCAAGAATTCACAAGAATTGCCTTTGGACCAGATGTCACAGTGGCAGTCGCTCCTGAAACATGGAGTTGTCTGTGGTGCTTGCTGATAAAAGGGATCAAGACTTGGAAATGGTACAGCACACAGAGAGCTCACATTAGTAGCTCCTGTATGCTTTGTTTGCACATGCCAGCTATGTGGAACCAGGCTGGCTTGTAGCTGCATAACTACGTAGAGACCTGCCAGCCAACGTCTGCACAGCCAAAGCTCAGCCTGTCTTCCCTCACCTCTTCCCTGCCTTCCTGCTGCAAGCATTCTCAGCCTTTGAATAGAGCTGATCCTACAGTTCTCTAAGCTTGCCCTTTCTCTGTAAAATCCAAATGTCTCATTCTCTGAAAATAACCTCTCCCCAGTTGCTCATTACCTTTAGCCAGGTGGAGATGCCCTCGGGGCTGGCAGCTGGGTCTGACAGCCTTAGGGTGAGTGTGTCATGGAAACATGGAGAGATGACAGAAGAATAGGGAAAAGCAGATGCAATGTGCTACCTCTCCCTCGGGGACTGTGAACAAGAGTAAGATTAAAAAGACCTTTC